TTGCAGTGCCGCCTCTGTGGCAGCCATGGTACTCTACCTCTTTGTCCCAAGTGTCCCTGGACAGTTTTAGAGCTGCTGGTATTTTGGAGACAAGTCAGCTCTGGCCTTGCATTGGTCTGGAGGAAGCCAGGACTATTCTTTGTCACATTTCCTGTGCATTGTTAACCACCACTTCCCACCCAGCCACAAAGAGCTCTGCTCCCATGCACATGGCTTGTTTGAGGGACAGGGAAGCAAAGGGAAAGCACTGAGGAGGAAAACCGTGATCTGGTGGATGAGGCTGAGCAGGGCTCACAGCCTTAGGGAGCTGTGTTTTCATGTCCTGCTGAGACTCTGCACTACACTCTGGTGCCCTGCTGCAGAGCCAGCCCACTGGGGAGCTCCCATGCATTCCAGAGAGGAGGATCTTGTGCCAGTGGGAACCAGAGCTCTGGAGGCCATGTCCCCAGTTCTGGGAAGTCATTCTGAAGCCATCCTACCTCCGTGCTCTCGAGGAACCAGACCCACTCTGGTCTCAAGGCATGACTTTTGAAGAATATTGACAGCTGGGGATACAGCTCGGTGGTAGAGTGCATGCCTCACATGTACAAGGGCCTGGGTTCAGTCCCCAGAAGCACCAAAATAAATAAATAAACAAATCATATATATATATATATATATATATGTATGTATGTATGTATGTATATATTGACTCCTACCTGTAGAATTTTTGGGACTGAAACCTGTTTGGGATTTGTGATGAGACGGTTCCTAAGATGTCCTTTCTTCTCTCAGCTTGAACTTTAACAGGTTATTGTTAACTATATTATCTGCATGTGGATCACAATACATTTAAATAGAAGGAAGGTGACGTTTCCAGGTGCCACATCTAATTCCATTCTTCTGTTAGATCTCTGACACACAGGTGTAAATACTGAAGTATTTTGCTTGTCAGGGTGACACATGCCTGTTTTCCCAGCTGCTTGGTAGACCGAGGCAGAAGGATCTTAAGTCCAAGGCCAATCTCGGCAATTCAGCAAGACCTTCTCTCAAAATTTAAAAAATAAAGGGCTGGGGATATAGCTTAAGCCCCCAGTTTAATCCCCAGTGTCTCTGTGTGTGTGCATCTCTCTCTCTCTCTCTTTTATACACACACACACACACACTTAAAGTAAGAATTCCAGTGTTCTCTGTGGCGTGTGTTCTGAGGTTTAGTCTGGGTTCTGAGGGTACGTTTTTCCCTGTCTTCACTCTCTTTTCTTTGGCTTCCTATAAAACTTCGTTGCCTCAACCTCCTCCCGCCACTTCTGAGCCTGCTGGCCATTAACACCACCACCCCCCACTCTGCCCCGCAAAATAGTGTGATTTCCTTGTAAGCCCCTGTAACGTGCTTTTCCAACCTCTGAACTCAGCCCCACTCACCCATTAGTAAATGGGTGATGAAGAAACAGAAGCTCAGCAGCTCACTTGGCTGTGGGCTGTGTGGATAGCATTTCTGTCCTTCAGCTGGGTCATCATCTGCGGGGGATCCCCCCCCAGGGTGGAGCGTGGTGGGATCAAGAAAGGATGTGATGCTGTCGAAGAGCAAAAGGGGAGTCTGAAGCAGGGAGAGCGCCGCCCAGTGTCACAGCTGTCCTGTATCTTTGTGGGAAGGTAGGACAGTAGGGGTTAGAGGTGGTTCTGAGTGGCTTTAGGAACCTAAATGGAATAATCGCAGAAGGGGGCACGGAAGTGTTGTGCTGTGGCCTGTGTGGTGAGGTAGCAATGTGTTTGTCACGTTGTGTTGTAACAAGTTGTTTTCTGATCTAGAATGTTGATACCTAGGTCATCTTAACTAAGAGATTGGGAGCAACCTGTGTGGTTGGAGGGCCTCTTGCTCATGACCCCCTGGTGCACATATGTGCATGGGGGGATAGGTGGCATGTGTGTGCATATGTGTGGTGTGTATGTGGGTGTGTGCTTATGAGTTTGATATGTGTATGTATCAGTGTGTATGTATATGTGTATGCATGTGTGGGGGTGTCTGTGTGGACTGTACCTGTGTGGGTATGTGTTTACATGTGTGCGCACATGTGTAAGTCTGTGCTTACACATATGGGGTGCACATGTGTGAGTGTGACTGTGTAGAGTGTGTGCATGTGTGGGTGTGAAGGTAGCTGTTGCTCACATGTGTAGGCGTGTGCTACTTATGTATCCATGTTGCATGTGACGTGGGCGTGTGTGTGCTTGTGGGGGCAGACACCTACATGTGTGGAACGTGTGGGTGGGCATGCATGTGTGTGTTTGTGTGTGGCAAGTGTATGCCTGGGCGGTCTGTGTGTGTAGGTGTCTGTGCATTTGGTGTTGCCCTGCGAGGCCAGGAGGTGGACATGGACGCGTGCCTGTGTGCTCCCCTCTTCTCTGAAGCCAGCCTGTGAGTGGTGGCAGCACACATTCTGTGTGAAGAAGCCTCTGTGGAGTGTTCAGGTGACCCTCAGGGGGGCAGATGGAGCTGCTGGTGTCTGGTTTCCAGCTGGGCTGCGTGAACAGGCTCAGCAGTTCCAAGACCAGCACTCCCTCCCTGCAGAGCCAGGTCAGGCAATTGCGCAGAGGGGCTTCTAGAGCCATCAGGCCAGGCCTGCCGGACTCCCTGGCTGCCTCCATCTTCCCACCTGTGCCTTTGAAAGTCTTGGTCGCTTGTCCATGTGGTAGCCTTCCGTGCCCTCTGCCAGGAACAAGGCCTGCTCAGAAAGCATGAGTCAGTATTAGCTAGAGCAAGCCTAAGCAAGGAGGTAAATGGATTCAAAAGAAGTAAAACACTCTTAAGAAGAATTTTAAAGAAAAAACAAGTGTTCTAGTGCATCTCTCCCTGGTGTGGAAGGCAGAGGGAACCCAGGAGTTCCATCCCTCACTAGTGGCTGTCTTGCAGCTGGGGTGAGCTGCAGATGGTAGCTGCCCAGAGCGGGAACTAGGACTGGCTGGCCGACTGCAGCATGGCTGTGTTCCAGCTGGTGACCTTTTTGAGAAGGAAGCTCCTTGTTTTAGCAGTTCTGACAATGTCCCTCCCCCAGTTAAAAGTGACCTCACAGGTGCCGGTGGGACCCAGCTTCCTGCAGTGGCTCCCAGGGCCCTTGCTGACGGACCTATTTCTCAGCTTCTCTCTCTCAGCCCCCAAGGCACCGCCATTCAAGGAAAGCATGATGCTGCGCTGGGCTGTGGGGCCTTGGCTTGCTGTAATGTGGCAAGTCCTGGCCAATCTGTTATCGCGCAGGTCTGTTCTTTCCTTTGTAAAGGGCACTGCTGGTGTCCCTTGGCGAGTACACAGCCAGTGCTGAAACTAGTGCCACCTGTCAGGTCTGACTCACTGCCGTCTCACAGCTGCGTTTCATGGCATGAAAAGAACATCCTTCTAAAGATGACTGACTTCCAGAGGGAGCAGGCCCGTCTCTCATGCGGTGAACACAGTTCCTCCTTTGCTTCAGGAGACAGGCTTCCAAATGACTCACGTTTTTTTGTGGACAAATATTTGGCTGCTGGAGCCATGTCATTGCCCTGTGCAGGGGAGGTTGGGACTCTCTGCTGAGAACTTTTTTTGTTTTTTAAAATATTTTTTGTTGATGGACCTTTATTTATTTTTATGTGGTGCTGAGAATCAAACCCAGTGCCTCACATATGCTAGGCAAGCACTCTGTCACTGAGCCACAGCCCTAGCCCTCTGGGATTTTTTTTTTTTTTAATATTTTTTTTTTTTTTTTTAATGTGGTGCTGAGGATCCAACCCAGGGCCTTGCACGTGCAAGGTGAGTGCTCTACCACTGAGCCACAATCCCACTCCCTGCTGGGAACTTTTATTTATTTATTATTTTTTAAAATTTATTATTTTTGTTAATATTTATTTTTTAGTTCTTGGCGGACACAACATCTTTGTTTGTATGTGGTGCTGGGGATCGAACCTGGACCGCACGCATGCCAGGCGAGCGCGCTACCGCTTCAGCCACATCCCCAGCCCGTGCTGGGAACTTTTAAAGAAAACATTTTTTAAAACTGATTTTACAGGCTAAATAAAGCATTTTTAAAATCAAACATAATTCTTCCTCCTTCCCACCTATTATTAATATATGTTCATTTAAAAACATTTGTAATTGTAGTAAAATACACATAATATAAAATTTACCATCTTAACCATTTTGAAGTCTGTTGAATTACCTTTTGAGTTCATGCTCTAGTCTTGAAAATTTTCATTGTAGTTCCTACGTGGAACCCTTCTAAATCAGCTGGAGAGTCCTGGAGAATATCACACTGTCAGATTGTATAATGCCAAAGGAAAACATAGGTATTTTCTTGGGTTAAACAAAGTGAGATAACTTTCCTAGCCTTTGGGAATGATATTGGGATGTAGTTCAAGGCTCCCCCCACCCCCTTATTTTTGTTTTAAAATATTCTTTTAGTTGTAGATGGACACAGTATCTTTATTTATTTTTATGTGGTGCTGAGGATCGAATCCAGCTCTTCACACATGCAAGGCAGGTACTCTACCGCTGAGCTACAGTCCCAGCCCCCCACCTTTTTAAATAAACTTAGATTTTATTTTTTGTATTTTTTTTCTTTTGCCTCAAAAAGTGACATTTATTCAAAGAAAAGAAAAAAAAAGACAAGATGTCCATCCCTTGGCTCCCTTCCTTCCCCCTTCCAGCTGACCTTAGCCCTCAGGATTGAACCCTGGCTGGAGTTAGGTAGCAGGACAGCCTCTCAGATGAGGTCAGCAACATTAAGGGGCATCTCTTCAGTGGAGGTGTTGCAGAAGGTCTCAGTGTCTCAAAGAGTCCTCTGTCGTCTTCTGCTGCCATGTTAATAGCCACACCCTTACAGTCAGAACGCCCACCTCGGCCAATTTTGTGGATGTAGTTTTCCCTGTTGGTAGGAAGGTCATAGTTGATGACTAAAGAAACCTGCTGCACATCAGCGCCTCTGGCCTATGTCAAGAAAGATGGCCAATTCAGCCTGTGGATTGAAGATATGATCCATCCAGAGGAACTTAAATATGCATGTTTGCAGCCAAAGGGAAGCAAAAGAAGTTAAGTATCCTCTGTCTCCCAAAGACCTTAGGTAAGCCAGGTTTTCTTCTGAGTTGCTACTTTCCTGAGAGAGACACCTTTCTTGTGTTTTGTAAATATTTGTTTACTTACTTATTGGTGCTGGGGATCCAGCCCAGGGGCCTGTGTATGCTAAGTGTGCACTCTGCCACTGAGCTCCAACCCCAGCCCTTGTTATTTTGTTTTAAGATCAACCTACTAAGCCTACAAATATAATGAGGTAAAAAAATCTTGTAATTATATCTTAATTATAGTTCTAGAAATGCTTTTGGAATGGTACAGTTCCTGGGTGAAATAAGGAAGTCTAATTTCCTGTTTAATTGTAGCTTTTCCTTCCCATATAGCACTTTCAAAGTGTGATTTTGAAAATATGGCCATTTTTCCTTCCAGGTTCATCTATTTCTCTGATGTATTTATTCCCCAGTTGTAGGACATTTCTCCAAGCTACCTATATTAGCCAGCCAATCTGAAAATCCCACCCAAAACATGAAACAGTCCTGCAAGTATTTGCTGAGCCTTCTTGCTGGAGAGGATTTTTGCCAGAACAAAATGCCCGGATAGAGGCTGGAAAGAGAGAGACAGAGGGTAGCCTTTCCGTCTGTGCCAGGATGCCAGTCCTGGCAGCTCTTGGAGAGCTGGAGGTGGATGAGAATGAGGGAAAGTCTGGGAAGAGAGGCTGACTTCACGTGTGGCCCAGTTTTAGCCCAAAGGAGAAAAAATCACCAAGATTGCACAGGAGGGCAGGTGCTCTTGCTTTGTCCAGCGTTTTGAATCAGGAGGTCAGCTTGAGAGTTGCCCGTGAGCTATGGCTTCCTTTTTATCATCCCTGTGCTTCATGTCTTCACTTTTTCTGAGCCAGGTTTTGTGGGTCATAATGTCATTTACCCATGCAGGTGCGAGCTGGCTTTGGTGTGGGGCAAAGGGTGAAGAGGCTTCCAGAGAATAAGAACACCCACCAGAACTTTAATAGAATTTACTAGTTCATTAAGGAGGGGACACATGTGCGCGCACACACACACACACACACACACACACACACACACAGAGGAATCAGGAGTTTACAAGCCCTTAGAGCCTAATTAGAAACTGAAGCTCACTCTCAGTTTCAGATGCTGGACTGTGGCCATGGGTCTCTTGAGGGTTTGCTGAAATATGTCCCCTGGTTATCTGGTCAAGAGGGAGTCTTCAGTTTGGTGTGGGAAAGGTCTGTTGTGGAAGTGACACACAAGTTTATGGTTTATGTAGCCTTAGCCAATGTGAGCAATTGCCATGAAACTGAATCTTTTATATTTTTAATTGTAGTAAAATATACATAATATAAAAGTTAGCATTTTGATCTTTTTTTTTTCCCCCCCCGGAGACAGGATCTTGCTGTGTTGCCCAGGATGGCTTTGAATTCATGGGCTCAAGGGATCCTCCTGCCTCAGCTGTCCAAGCGGCAGGGATTGCAGGTGCACATCACTGAGCCCATCTTAACCAGTTTTAAGTGTACATTCATGGGTTGGGAATAGCTCAGTTGGTAGAGTGCTTGATTCGCAAGTACAAAGCCCTGGGTTCAATCCTCAGTAACACACACACACACACA